GTTACCTAGAATAGGAAAAATAAAGTTTTTGTTGGTTATAATTGACCATCTAACCGGATGGGTAGAGGCTTACCCATGTAGCAATGCCACTACCAAAGTGATATCCAGGGTATTGCTAGATCAAATTATTCCCAGGTACGGGATGGTCACTCAAATTGATAGTGATCAAGGGAGCCATTTCACTGCAAAGATATTGCAGAATATTATGGAAGCCTTGGGAATAAATTGGAAATTTCACACTCCTTGTCACACGGCCAGCAGTGGAAAAATGGAAAGTGCTAATGCAAAGATAAAGGAATCATTAACCAAACTAATTTTAGTCTAAGAGTCTGCCACTGGCACTGCTGAGAATTAGAACTCAGCCACGGAAAGACATAAAACTGTCACCCTATGAATTATTATTTGGAGTTGCTTTTACCCCAGGACAAATTTGTATAGATTCACTCCAAACTCGAGATAGAGTACTGAAGCAATACGTACATAAACTGTCCAGATATTTTGATTTCCTCAGGAAACAAGGATTGCTGGTACAAACACCCCCCTTGGAGTTTCCAGTCCACAAATTCCAGATCGGAGATTGGGTGCTGATCCGGAGTTGGAAGGAGGAAAAGCTGGTTCCAAAGTGGGAAGGCGCTGCTGAAATCCAAAACAGCAGTACGAACGGCAGAGAAGGGCTGGACCCACTACACCCATGTGAAAGGACTAGTGGACGCTCCAACCAAGTGGAAAAGTGTGCTTCAACCTGACCCTTTGAAGTTGATAATAAGAAAAAGCAAAATATAGAGACATTAGAAAAAGGGGGGGGGTTAAATGTGTTGGTTTTGTGACTGTAAATGTTGGTGTAATTGTTGTTGTTGTACCCATTGCCCAGACTGCGCACCGATACACAGAGACTGTGGAGAAGAGTGTGATATAGTGATCATCGAAGACTGGTGTCCCGAGTACCAATCTCAGCCCCTGTTACAGACGGTGGTCTTAAAAGTGAAAGGGAAGAAGTACTTTTCCAGGGGTGGACAGAATTGGGATAATGTTAGACCTCAATATGACCTTGGTTACAGGAGTAATTAAAATATGGATTATAGTGGGAGTAGTAGGGTCCAGGAGCATATGCAAAGGTCAAAGTATAAATAACTCTGATAACTGTAATGATTGCATTAGAACCACCAAAATGGGTAATAAAGTAACCAAAACTCTGACATATCATACCCAGATGAACTACAAGGTGGTGGGAATGTGTGTTCATAATACCACCAGATTTTCCCTGTGTAATGAAACAGGAAGGGTTACATGCATTGACCCCTCTAGTGTGAAATATCAAACAACCATTCAGATATTTACCTCTCAAAGTGGAAAGAATCTAACATCATTATTATTAGGACAGAACACTAATACCTCTGCTAATCACAAGAGTAGAATCTGCTTTGATGCCTGCTATGCCATGAAGTTTAGTCCCTGGACCACCTGTGGGGCCCTGAGTTGGCAGAGGAGTTACCTCACACAAAGGATATACATTTATCACCAACAATAGAGAGGAAGCTCCTACGTGGCTTCCCAGACATATTGGTACTCTGATGGTAGGGGCTCACCTAGGGTGTGGACAGAGAAGAGCAGTTGGTTTAATTTAACCAAGGGGGTCAGACAATCTGATTGTTTAGAAGACCATTGTACCCCCACATGCTTGCATTTTATGGATCCCAATGAAGGATCACAGGAATATGGATTGGGAATTGAGAGCCCAGGAAAGGACCCGAGCACCCGCATCACCGTTAAGGTAACAAGTAAAAATCTGACCCCAATAGAAAGAAAATTATTCCACTCCTTTTATGAGGAGCTTGAAAAGGCCGATCACCCTGATACCTGGGGACTCACTTTTCTCACCAAAAATCTATTTATAGATCTGGCTGAAAGGATAGCCACCACCCTGGGAGTAAAGAATTGTTATGTATGTGGTGGAACAAATATGGGGGAACAATGGCCTTAGGAAGCTAAAGAAATTGATATCCAAGACACTAACATTACGTCCACTTGGACTACTAAATTAACAAAGAAAAGTCAAAAATGGGCTTTAACTACATCCATTATCGGTCACTTCTGCTTTCAGAGAAACTGCTCCGAGAACCGGGAGGAAGTAGGAACCATGGTATGCGAGGGCCAGAGATCTTACGGGGACTCAAGTACTCAGAATTGGGAAACCATGCACAGTATCGAACAAAATCCTTTTAATAACATGGTTCTACAGGGGCTTTGGGACAATGCATCCCAAGAATGGTTTGCTCCGCAAGGATTTTATTGGATATGTGGAAAATTTGCATATACCAGCCTACCTAGCAATTGGTGTGGTTCATGTGTATTGGGAAATATAAAGCCTAGTTTTTTCCTACTTCCTATTCCTCAAGGGGAAAAACTTGGAATAGCAGTATATGAGGAGAAGGGAGCTAGGAGAAAACAATCATTAAAAATTGGAAATTGGAAGGATAATGAATGGCCACCTGAACGCATAATACAGGTGTATGGACCTGCCACTTGGGCTGAAGATGGATCATGGGGATATAGGACTCCAATTTATATGCTGAATCGCATTATTAGGTTACAAGCGGTTCTGGACATTATCACTAGCAAGACAGCGCTAGCATTAAATAAGTTGGCTAAACAAAATACCCAAATGAGGACTGCAATTTATCAAAATAGGCTAGCCTTGGATTATTTATTGGCAGAAGAAGGAGGGGTCTGTGGAAAATTTAATTTAACCAACTGTTGTCTGCAAATAGACGATGAAGGGAAAGCCATTGAGGAAATAACAAACAGGATGAGGAAAATAGCCCATGTACCGGTCCAAACCTGGACTGGAATACTTGATGATGAGGGGTTCTTGGGAGGAATTTTTAGAAACTGGAAACAAGCTTTATTCATGTTAGCAGGTGTATTCTTCGGGTTAATGTGCTTACCCTGCTTGATCCCTATAATAAGAAGTATTGTACAAAACACGGTGGAGGGAATGGTAAATACAACCAATGCTGCAATACTTGACTTCGAGAATGCAGAGGAGATCCGGGAAAGTTTAAAACCATTTGAGGAAAATTTTTATTTTTAAATTAGTATAAAAAATAGAGAGGGTGGATTTGTGAGAAACAGAGAAGTTTAAAAATAAAACGGTTTCAATTGACTAACAATAGAAAGATTAACCAAGCCCTGCACGTAGGAGGCTTGGCTAGAAGACACACTTAACAAGACAAAAGGATGGCAGAGGAAAGTTCGGAACAATGTAACCGAGGGGGGGGAGGGATGATGTATTCTGGCTAGGCGGATCGGACAGATTGTTCCCCCGGAAGTCCTCTCAAATGGGACCCAAGGGGAGGGGACAGGGGCATCGCGATAGGAGTGTATATAATATTATGAGTTTGAATATTTTTGTGTGGTCTCTGGGTTTAGAACTTCCTGTTGAAATCTCTCACCAGGATCCACTGCGCTTTGCAAACCGCTTTTCAATTTTTCTGCAGAATAAACTCTTTTCTTACCAACCCAACTTTGTTGGTGTTTTAATCACGTTTCTAACAGAGAGAACTTAAATGAGCTAACAGACACCTAGAGTACCCCTGGTGGAAGATAGAAGTGAAGACGACTGGACACGAGCTCAAGCTGCTATTAGAGCCTACCATCAAGGGCAGCAAAATGCAATTATTTCTTCACATGTCTTGTGTCCATTTGTGGTCACCCAGCCACCCTGTTTTGGGTGATGCAGCCCCCCTTGGAGGAGCAATATTGAAATTCACTTAAAGGGGCTCTGTGAGTGATAGGCTGCACATCTGGCAGACAAAATTGCTTGCATTTGCTGTATGTTGAACTCCAGCTTTAAAGCAGAATTGAGGGAGGTGGGAAGGGGGCTACATCTTGCAAGATGACCTGGGAAGAGTTTGAGCCTGCAAAACCTGAGGAAGTGGGCAGGACCCTCTCAGTTTGATCATCTGCATTGAATCCATGCCCCCCCCCAGCTTCTTAAGGCTGTGCGGGAGGGGCCTGGGTGATAATTAAGTCCTCCTTATACGAAGGAGGGGTCTCTTTGCTAAAGTATATAATTCAGGCCTCTTTCAGTTTATTTATTTATTTATTTATTTATTCAATTTTTATCCCGCCCTTCTCCTTACGGACTCAGGGCGGCTGACAGCCTTATAAAACAGATACAACAATAAATACCCAATTTAAAACCTAATTAAAAAGAAATATTTACTATGGCCTATATAATTAAAATTTCTCTTAAAACCCCACTAAAAATTCCCCTAGGCCAATCCCACTTGTTGGAAGANTGGGAGCGTACCGGCCGATGGGAGGTAATCTGCGGCAGAAGGCGGTCTCGGAGATATCCAGGTCCGATGCCATGGAGCGCTTTGAAGATGATGACCAACACCTTGAAGCGCACCCGGAAGGCTACCGGCAACCAGTGCAGCTCGCGCAGCAGCGGTGTTACATGGGAGCGACGAGTCCCTCCCAACACCGCCCGCACGGTTCAGGCCAAGTTTCGGACTAAGACAGCATTGATCATGCTCATGGATGACCGCTGGCTCTTACATCCTGGCTCTTACTGACCTCTCAGTGTCATCTGATACTATGGATCATGGTGTCCTTCTGGACTGACTCTGGAAGCTGGGGCTGGGTGGCCCTGCATGCTGCTGGTCTTCCCCTTTCCTCCAGGCTCAGTTCCAGTTGGGGTTGATGCGGGGGTTGTGTAAAGATTCAGCCTGAGGCCTTGCTCCCTGTCCCCAGGCCCTTGTCAGATCTTATTTCAACACACTCTACATGGGGCTTCCCTTGAAGAGCATTCAGAAACTTCAGCCATGCAAACTGCAGCTGCAAGGTAATAAAGGGGCTGGATACCCAGCATATGCAACACCACCACCACCTGAGCTACATTGGCTATGGGTATCTTTCCAGGTGCAATTCAAGGTGCTGGTTATCACCTTGCTCTGAGTGGTTTTTCTCTTTTGCATTTGATCGGACAAGCTTACCTCAAAAAAAAACCTCAGCATCAAAGCCAGGGCCCCAAAACAGAAGCCGGGCCCAACCTGCTGTGTGTAGACGCTCTTATCTGGATACAGCCCTTTCTTCTCCTTCATCTTTTGCAGCTGGAGAAAGAAGAGAGATTACAGAGATTGCACTTTCTTCAATCACCACAGTCAAGTTTAATTTTAAACCCTAGTGATGCAGGAAAATTCCATCACACAGTTATGCTTGTAGTGACATATTTTGTATCCCTCAAAATCCTATTTGGATATAGTGTTGCACTTGTCTAGTTGAAATAGGTTCAGTGGGATTGCCAGGTTAGGACCTTTTCTTACCTACTAAGAAAGTTCAGTTTCCATTCGATTTTGCTAGGGTGGGGGGTGGGGTCTAATTTATCTCTTAATTTATGAAGTCCCCAAGTGGGGTGGGTGGGCAAGGCCACACTGCTCTTTGCAGGCCTCTCACTGAAACATCCTGGATATCCCATGTTCCCACCTGAAGACATCCCATGAAGGAATTATAGTTCCTGGCTCAAATTGCCCTTTTTGTTATAATGTTTCTTCCACCTCTCTCAACAGAATCTGCTTCCTATCATCTAAATCCATTATTCTGGAAAAGATGCTGATGTTGACCTTCTTCACTATAGCGTTCTTTCAGATAGTTGGAGAATACCGTCATTTCCCCCCATCCAAGTCTCTTTTCTAGAGGTGAGACATCTTCAGGACTTCAATGTCTCTTCACCATTCCTAGTTCTCTGATTATCATCCTTTTCTTGGTCCCGTCAAGATCATTTTGAAGTTTATTCCAGTCTCCTTTGCCTTTTTCCCCATTAACAATAGGATGTATTTATATTTGGCCTTTTCTTTCTATTGTTGAGGTGATCATTTTTGCTTCTAGTTTGACCATGATGGAATTCCTCAGAGGAAGCCTCTGAGGCCTGCAAAAGCCATAAATGGTGCCCAATCATGACATGAAGCCACAATAGGGCACTGTTGTAAGAGAATGGCAATTTTCAATGATTGAGAGTATCCTGTCCACTGTCACCAGGAAACTAATCCCTCCCTGAAATTGGGATAATTTTATTTTTAAGTTCTTTTCAGATTTCAGTTGAAGTGACCCTTATGTGCCAACACTTTTTTTACTGTGGCAAAGAGGTGTCCTTACCCATTTGACTGTTATCACAAGAACTGCTGTGCCAATCGGTCCAGAATAGACACCATATCCCCATCGGTCATGGTAGATCCTGACAGCTATAGTAAGCACTCCAAACATCACCAAAGTTGATCGTTTGGGTTCATCAAACTCTGCCAAAGCTAATAAAATGACAAGAATTGAAGTACAACCTCATTTAAAATTCCAACTCTTACCAGTACACACTTTTAAAGGTTCCCTAGAACAGCAACTAGTTGACCTGATCTTAAAAAAAAGCAGGGTTAGATCTGGTTGCTGCTTCAGTGGAGCCAGTTGGAAAAAGGGAGGCCAAAGGGGAAACCATGATGTGCTCTGTGCTTTGGGGCACAGACCTGCAGGTTGGGTAGACATATTCTCACTCCCAAAGCCCTATATGGCACAGAGCTGAGTCAGCAACCTATGGCCCATAGGCTTGCATCTGGCACACCACCAAAATTACCCAACCCGTAGTCCCAAAAAGAAAGAGCCACCTGGCCCATAGACTGCAGAGCACAACTATCCTTATGAAACAAAGACATCTCTATGATTTCCCCAGAATCCTCCCAAGTACCAATGTATTTGCTCACAAGAGAGGGATTATACATGAGAAAGACCTTGGGAGGTGGGGCCAAGAAATGGCTGGATAAGAGACTGCAAAGCCTGCAGTTGGACAGTGGGTGGGGCAAGAGGCCCAAAAGAAAAGAGTTTCCTGGGTTCCTTGGATTGGAAAGGAGACAGTGGGAGACTTGTACTTTCAGACTTCCAAGATTCTATTAAAGTCGGTTTATAACAAAATAGAAATAACTCATCTGGTCATATTTCCTGTCTGGCCTGCCAAGTAAAGACTGACAAGGAAAGTGCATCTGCTCACAGACACAGCCTCTTCTCCCTATGTGGAAGAAGGTGGCCAAACCCTGGAACAGAGCCTAGTGATTTGAGGCATTGTCCCTCTTCCCTTGTTTCTTCCTATGTGGTCAGATAGAACCAATATGTCCAGTCCTGTCTCTTAAACAATGCTATGTGATTGGACTCAGGAAACAAACAAACTTGCCTCCATAGTTACCTGCACCTGGTTTTTGCTCACAGTTTCCCACACAGTGTTAGGAGGAGGGTGGTGAATTCCTAAGGGTGGGGAGAGGCTATGGAATACAAGAGTGCCTTCTGTTGCTGGTGAGACATTATTCACCAAGGTCAAGTTATGAAGAATGTTTGAAACAGACAGTTTTTCCTAAAACAAAAGAAGTGAACTATGAACTGTGGATGGCATGGAGGGGAAAAAGGGGTTTTACCTATGTAGGTTTTTGCAGGAAAATCCCAGAATTGACTTTGTTTCTGCTGTGCCTAGATGGATCTTTCAATAAAGCTACACTCTTGGACATTCTAAAGAGCTGGGGGTTTCTTTTCTTGAATATGCCAAATGGGATGGTTGACACCTTTTCTTTGGAACAGCAGCACCCAGAGGTCTAAACAGCCCCAACTGTGCTCCCCTTTAGATGGACCTTGAAGACCTGACTCAAGTCCTGGCTTTGGCTTACAGATAAGGGCATTCCATCTGAGAGGTGGTTGTGTCTCTTCCATTTTTTTGTGGTCTGGAATCTTTTTTCCCCACAATACAAAATAAGAGGGTTGAAAGGGACCTTGGAGGTTTTCTACTCCAACCCCCGCTCAAGCAGGAGACTCTATACCATTTCAGACAAATGGCTGTCGAGTCTCTTCTTGAAAACCAACAGTGTTGGAGCACCCACAACTTCTGGAGGGAATCTATTCCACTGGTTAATTGTTCTCACTGTCAGGAAATCCCTCATTTCTAGGTTGGATCTCTCTTTGATAATCTTCCATCCTTTGCTTCTTCGCCTGCTCTCGGGTGCTTTTGGAATAGGTCAACCCCCCTCTTCTTTGTGGCAGCCTCTCAAGTACTGGAATACTGCTATCATGTCATCCCTAGTCCTTCTCTTCATTAGACTAGACATACCCAGTTTCCTTCCCTAAGAAAAACTTTTCTCACAATTGCATTTTGTTGGATAAGGCACAATGCTCACATCTGTCAAGATGTTTCTTGATCTTGAGTCTATCTTCTAAAGCATTGGCTATTCCCCCCAGGTTGGTGTCATCTGCAAATTTGATGAGCTTCCTTTCTATCCCCGCATTTTCAGTTTCTTTGCTTTAAATGCATAGGCCACCCAGAATCATTGAGAGTGTTGGTAGTTTTGGAAAGGTCAATGATAAAAGAATTATGAATATAAATCAATGTCTATGGTGGATAGAAACTTTGGGAAGCCTTTGTTTTAGGCTCTTAATGCGTTGTCTTCTTGTGTTCATAAAGAAATCAGTCCCATTTAGTTCTTAAATACATTTAACATTGTAGTCTTCATATTTTTGTTTAGATATAGATGTTGGAAATCCAACACTTAATAGGAATATAGGAATATTCTTTATTGGCTAAGTGTGATTAGACACACAAGGAATTTGTCTCCAGTGCAGAAGCTCAGTGTACATGCAAACAACAAAGTGGGGAGTTTGTTGTAAACAAAGTGGTAATTGCTCTGGATGTTGTGTATTGTAATGCAGGACTTTTCGACCTTTTCACAGATTGTACTACTTTTAGGACATGATAATATTTGAGTACCATCAGTGTTTAGCAAGGTATCAAAAACCTGATGACTAAAAAAAATGGGGGGGGGATTTTGGGTTTTACTGATTAGATTCATTTGTTGTTATAGAAATGGCTAGTTTATAATATTATGGAAAAGTAAAAAGTTGTGGTTCAATGTTAATGCTTCCTTCTACTGTGCTGGCTACTGGTTATAACTTTGTTTTCTTCTAGTTGTTCGCAGATCTGTTTTTTGATTATCTTTTCTAGGCTCTTCCCAGGTATTGAGGTTAAACTGATTTGTCGGTAGTTTCCTAGGTGCACTTTTCTTTCTTTCTTGAAGATGGGAACCACATCAGCCCTTTCCCAATCCCAGTGCTCCAGGATTTTTGAAAGATATGGTGCAATGGTTCTGAGATAACTGCCAGCTCCTCCAGAACTGGGATCTGTCGATCCTGGTGATTTATGTTCATCAAGATCAGACATTGTTCCTTTGTTCCTTCAATGGTTTGTCCAGTTATGTCCCTGAATTTTGTCTTAGAAGGTTACTTGCATTTTCCTTGAGCTTTTTCTTGGCTTTCTCATTACAGCGCACATCCTGCTCCCTCTTGCTGCTCTCTTTTTTTACGAAAAGAGAAAGCATGTTGTGTGCACCAACATGGCTCTAGGGTGGAGACTGTGCATGTGAGGAAGAATGTGTGTGACAAAGAAGGGGGACCTGGACTTCTCTAATATTAGACATTTTTATTAGGAAGAGGTTTTGGAGCGCTTTTTCTTAATGCTGGATATTGAAAAGCTGACAGATTACAAGGCTCAAAGATTTCCTATACAATTTTGGTTATTCCCTTCTTCAGATTTCCTTAATGCCCCCCCCCCCCAGACATATATTCAAAAGCAGCAGCCATTCTTCCTTACCTATCAGCGAGACCCACATGGATAATGTGGTTCCAAAAATGCTAAAGTATTGCAGCAGATCATACTTCATGAAACAAAGGAAGGTGAGCCCGGGGCCTTCACAGGCATGGCAGACCTGTTGAGAAACAGTTGCTTATTTATTTCCAGTATTTCTGTGATAAAAATTGTAATTTAAAAAAGCTAGATCAGAATCCTCTTGTTTGAAAGACAATTAACCCTCCCCCTTTACTTTGTCAGGATATTCCAGTGGGTTGGTGTCATTGCAGAAAAGATCTTGATCATCTGTGGACAAAGGCTATAGTCTCAGAGAACAGAAGTAAAATTTAAGATTCTTCGCAACTTATGTCATTAAAAATTGAAACCAGTTCTCTGAAATGACCAGAAACAAAAATGTTAAACCATGCCAGACTTGATTGACCTCTGGCTCCTTGCCTGACCTGACTTTTTTTATACTTTAATTAGGCTTCTGGCCCATTGCACCATAGGCATTCTTCAGAAATAAACAGCTTGGTGTTTTGATTGGCATCCACTCAGATAAACAACAAAGATTCGTAGGAGTAAGAAGTATGTAGGTATAGACACTGAAAAAGTGGTCAGCGCTATGTAGTTCCATTTCTATCAGATGCGTAGATTACTGTCTTGGAAGAGAGCTGTAACTGATATGCTGTTGAGAAATAGATGAGGGAGGGAGGGAGGAGGGAGAGAGAGAGAGAGAGAGAGAGAGAGAGAGAGAGAGAGAGAGAGAGAGAGAGAGAGAGAGAGATGGAACGGTTTCCACAAAAACTTGAAACTTTGCCCATGAAAGTCCTGCGACACCTGGTTGTTTCTGCTGGCACCAAAATCTTCTCTGAAAATTCTCCTTGGTATTCTGTGTTTCTCTTCTTGTGTGCAAAGGATTTTTTTCCAGGCTGTTAAACAACTTGCTTTTTTCAGGACCCGAAAGGCAAAGATCCCTGGTTGAACTGGGACTTGGTTCATAATATATCATTGTCTCCAGAATTTAACAATCTTAGTCTGTTACAGCAAAAAGAACTAGCTCAGACATGCATTGCAATGGGGGGTTAACCAAACATGTTATGAGAAAAAGATACAGAGGAAGAAAAGCACACAGACATTACTTATACTATTTTCATGCAAGAATACAAAGCACCCTCTCTCTTTTTTACGAATGAGAATTCTTATTTAAAGTTTTAGTGGGAAGGAGGACTTACCAAGATGAAGAACATGGTGAAGAAGTAGACCATGGCCTCCATGTGAAACTGCCTCTTGGCTGCAATGCTGATGGTGGGGAGGAAGGCAAGGCTGCTGAAGGTGGGCAGGAGGAACTTGGCAGCTAAAGAGCCCATTGGGAGGAGAGCAGCTCCTACCGCCCGGCTGCCCAAGAGACTGAGGAGCCAAGGCCAGGACTCGGGTGTGCTGTGGAAAGGGCAGTTCGGACCAAGGATGCCTCCTCGTCTCTTCTCTTCTCTTCTTCAATGGAGAACAGTTGCTGAGAGCCCACCGGCTGCTCCTGTTCTTGGCTTCCACTTGAACAAATGGCCCCTTCCGTCTCCCAGGAGGAGGTTTCCCTCTGCAGCCAGCTGTCTTTGGAGCAATTCTTGAGAAGGGCAGATGGGGAGGAGGAGGAGATCACTCTTGGTCGTTGACTGAGCCCTTTGGAATAAAATGTTCCCTATTGGGGCAAATGTGTGGGGAGGAGAAGTCCAGGGTCTGGCTCAAGACAGAAGGGGATTTGATCTGCGGAGGCCATGAAGAGATGGGCAAAGGCCATAGACAGTATCCTTCTTCCCCAAGGAGGTTTTGGGGTTGCTGAGGATGGGCTCCTGGGCACATGGCTCCCAGCTGCCTGGCCCCAAAGGACAGGGATGGGGAGTCAGATGCTCTCCGCCTTGTCAAAGCTGTTTCCTGGCCTCTTTAGGTGCCTGCTCTGGGCACACAGAAGTACCAGATTGCAGCCTATATAAGTAAATGCAAGTAAAACACAATTAAAACATGTCACAATTTAATGAATAAATTCCAAACCTTTATTCTTTGTTGTTTATCAGCTATGTATGCCACCTGACTCCCATCTTAAAATAAAAGCCTCAAAATAAAAATCAACATACAATCAGAATAACAAAGGTGGAAGGGACCTTGGAGGTTTTCTAGTCCAACCCCCTGCTCAAGCAGGAGACCCTATACCACTAATTACTTAATTAATTAACCATTAATTAATTAATTGTATATCTATTCAAAAACATCAAAACTAAATTGCAAAAAAAGAAGCCCTTTCCCAGAAAGGAACAATGCAGCTCAAATGGGAATGGGGGCTCCCCTGGACCTCAGCGTTGGCTCAAATCAAGCCAGGCCAGGAAAGTCAGGCAAAAATCCAGATGATTGACTGGATTTTGACCAGCAGGATGACTTTGCTGGTACCACCACCCCAAGGCCTCCTTTCATCTCCCACTTCATCTCCCAAGTGACATGGCTGTCTCTCAGGGACACTGCTGGATCAAAAGAACTTTCAAGGTGCAACCAATCTCCTTTCTGGCCAGGAGGTTGAGGAAGCACCGTTGGGAGAATCAGGAGAAATAACCCCAGCCAAGTTTTCTGTGCCACTTTCTGGGTCTGTTCCTTGCAAGCCTTTCTTGAATGTTTTCCAGGGTGCTAGTGAATGACATAAAAACCACACTGGCCCATCCACTGTAGTAGGTATTCCCTTGTATATTTTGCTGTTGGACATTCAGATGCTATATATGATTTTTCTTTCTATCATGAAGGAATGTTTACCTTTTCTTATTTTTTTAAAATAAAAATAAATTATGTCAAATTTGGACCCTTTGAGGTTAATTTCCCAGTTCCACATCTCAGGCACAGAGTCAGGAAGATGGCACTATAGAACCCTTTTCTTTTCCTTCTTTTTATATTTCCTTTTTACCCTCTTGCTTGCTGGAAATGTCTATGGGGCTGCTCTGCCAAGTCAGGACATGCAGCTCCATCACAAGATTACAGAACTACAGAGTTGGAAGGGGCCTTGGAGGTCTTCTAGTCTAGCCCCCTGCTCAAGCAGGAGACCCTATACCATTTCAGACTAATGGCTGTCCAGTCTCTTCTTGAAAACCTCCAGTGATGGAGCACCCACAACTTCTGAAGGCAAGCCATTCTACTGAATAATTCTTCTAATTTGAGGAAATTTCTCCCTAATTCCAGGTTGGATCTCTCCTTGATAAGTACTTCTAGAGTGCTGGGCCAAAAACAGAACTGCATCCCCCAGAGAGAAAGGGGTGTTCAGGGTTTCTTGATCCACAAAGCCTCTGGAGAGGAGTTGGGATTTATTTATTTGATGTATTGATTGATTTCTATCTCAGTCAATGACTCTGAGTGGCTTACAATCCAGGATTGCCCAAGAATGTCTGGAAATGGTCTCCTTCCCCTCAGAGCAGTTGGTGGGTTATTTAGACAGCATGTATCCCCCTTCACCCTATGGTGGCACACAGAAGGTCTGAGGAGACAAGTAAGAGTTGGGATGGATCTTGGAGACGATCCAGTCCCGTGTCCTGCCCAGAGCAGAGATTGCTAAAATGTCCCTGACAGCTGGCTCTCCTGACTCTGGGCAGCATTTATTCATAGGGAATTCTTTCTGAAGTCCAACTCAACCCGCTTTGTTATTATTTAAATCCAATGTTTTGTGTCCTGGAACAACTGTAAACAAATCTGTCCTATCTTCTGGGGCACAGTTCCTCAGATACGTAACAACCATGACTGCATCTCCTTGTGGTCCACCCAGCATGTCTAATTCTTTCTCTTAAGTCTTCCATCCATCTTGCTTGATCAGTTGTTCTCAGAGCACAATTGACAAGCTGCAGTCTGACCAATACAGACTGCATTCAGAGCAACAGCAACCTCATCTGATCCTGACATTATGCTTCTGTTAATGCAGCCTTGGATTGCATTTATTGTTTTGTTTAATTTTTGATTTCACAGCTGCACCACACTGTTCAGCTTGTGATCCACCAAGACACTTAAAACCTTTTCACATGTACTGCTGTCCAGTAGTGTCCCGTCCAGGTGAAAAATTGTTTTACAAAACTATTAGATCAGTGCATCTGCACGTTAGGTGTTTCCCCTCTTCATCAATTGATTTTTAGATACAAAGCGGATGTAAAATTGAAAGTATCGAATCTGATTCTGGATGGCCTCAACAGAATCCTGCTCTAGGGTGCCAGGAACTTGACATGTCCTGTCCTAGACTCTTGCCTTTGAATTGCTTCATTTGCCCTGGTTGAAATCCATATTACTTCTGTCTGTTATTCCAACCGGTCAAGGTTTTCCTGCATTTTGGTATCTTCTGAGATGTTTGCTATTTTCCACATCAGTTTCTCCTCTGCAGATTTGATAGTAAAGTTGTTCATTATCTCACCCAACATATTTATAAACAAGTTGAACACAAAGCCTACAATGGAGCCTACCTACGTTCCTGCCAGCTCCATGTAAAATCATTAACAGTCACTAAACCAGCTCTGCATCCAGTGGTGGCATCTGGCAGGCCTTATTTTGTTATGTTGTCTGGTAGGATCTCAATGAAAGACTCTTCCAAATGAGTTAAGGTTATATAGAATCCTATCACAAAATGCACTATTTTTTTCCAAATGCTCACAAATTGTTTAATACTCTGTTCCAGAATTTTTTTGCCTAGTATTAGCATCAAGCTGACTGGTAGTTACTTGGCTCTTTTTTCAAAGACAGGAATAAAATTTATCCTTCTTAGATCCTCTGGCATTATAGCAGGTAGTCAGTTGTGTCCTCTTCACCTACGGCTTGACTACTGCAATGCACTCTACATCGGCCAGCCCTTGAAGCCCACTAGAACCTTCGACTGGTCCATAATGTGGTGGCATGGGCAGTGATGGGCATGCCACAGGACACCCATGTAATCAGTGGGATTGCCCATTCAAACTGACCGGATGAACTGTTGGGGTGGGGTTTGCTTGGGACTCTTTTAACCTATTGATCTGAGCGGGAAACCCTCAGATCCTGCCTTCTATGCCTGCTATCAGCTTCTCCCAATAAAAGTTCCTTTTGGGATGAAACTGTTCCAAGAGTCCTGCTTTCTTGGAATGAGGTTTTGAAGTGGGCCCTGACATTAGGCAGGATCTGCAGTAATAGTCAACCCGGAAGGAAGACCCTTGCCGGGGGGCTAAGGAAATGATGACTGATATCAGAACGGAAAGGGAAGAAACTGTCACAGGAGGGGAATTCTCCCACCAAGCAGAGCCCAACTGATCCAGTTCTCAATCCTTGAGCTCATTGGACAAGGTGGTGGCTATGAAATGCCGCCACAAACCCAGGTGGTTGATGGGCGTCGGGAAGAAGGAGGACTGGGATAAGAGATCCAGGAAGGTGACGCTCCGACATGGCAGTCACCAGCCAGGTTGGAAAGTCAAGATGGAGAGGTCGCTCCACCTTAGTGAAGACAAGGACAACCTGCTCCAGCCGATTCCTGGAACAAGCCATCGACATGTTGAGAGTCGCCTTCGATTCCATGAAGGAGGAGAAAGCCGACTCATGCTGAGGCACTGCCAACCCAGGCTCAGCCAAGGGGACAGATGAAGGGGGGGGGGGCGAACCGGCGGTCCCAGGCCCTTCTACCAGCACCATAGAAGCAGCAGCCATCGCTACAGCCACAGCCATCTCCAGGCGAGCTGCACCAGCTGACGGTGATGGCCACTGACACAGGAGACAGAGGGGGCATCGGTCCATCCGAAAATTCCTGCTGCTAGGAGTGAGATACTGCAGGGAGCCGCACTGACTGGGGATTTTCCTGACTCAAGTGTTGAACTTGGGGCGGATGGGGGTTCTGCTCTCCCAAAAGGCCGCCAACTCCTACCCAGTGGCCCTGTCCTCTCAGTGCCTGGTAAGGGCTGGAGGCAGAGAGGCCATGCCAGGGGTCCAGCCATCGCCACCTAGGCCTTGCTCTGCGTGGAGGACAGAGCCCCATTGGAGGCTTCCTGACTGAGGCTGCGGAGGGGCACCCAGCAGGGCAGCCGCCAGTGCCCGGAACCCCCAGACGGCCACCGGGTGGTGGCGAGGAGATGGCCCAGCTTCCCCTTGTCGCTGCTGGCCGTCCGGGCTCTGCAACCCAGTGCCCACCCCTCCCCCTGCAGCTCGTAAGGCCAGGGTCGCGGCTGGAGCGTGGGCGTGGCCAAAACCACTCGGCCTCCGGCTGCCTTCTCCCGGCCATGTGGCGGACCCGGCAGCATCGCCGCCACTTTAAGGGGAGTAGCCGCAAGGGAGGTGCCTGCCGCAGGATTCCGGGTGAAAAAAGGGCGGCCCGCCAGGGAGGGACCAGAGCCATGCCTGTCCGCCC